TGGATGTGGAGGCGTCTCTGCTGGAAGCATTCCCACCCCAGGGCTTCAGCTGTGCCTCTCACCCTCCCCATTCTTGGCCTCTCTTGTAGCCCTTCCTGCCTTGGGTTGAGACTGTCCTTTGCCTGGCATCCTTCTGTGGAGGACCACCTGGGTGACTCCTGGAAAGAGGAGCAACTGTCTCCATTTTGGCTGAGCCTGACCCTATTTCCATGTATTGATATGGACAGAGCTGGCTGGGACCCTTTCTTTATCCCTTGAATTGGCTTTAAGCAGTGTATATTGGTCCAGCCGAGGTGCTGATGGTGTCTTTGAAGACAGCAGGCATGTATCCCTGAGTCCCCGTTGTTCCCAGGAGTGAGCTCGATGAGGTGGCATGTGTGAGTCAATGCTCCATGGTGTTGGCTGTAATGAACCTTGAGATAGAGGCTCTGACTTCCTGGGGCTTGAAAGATTACACATCAGAGCTGAAGCACCTGACCCAAAACATTAGATACTATCTCAGTTGTGTTATGCAGATTACTTTCTGCATATCCCTCTCTCCGCACTTGCAGAGGTGATTTCAGGCCTCCTACCCAGCCCAGCTCATGACACTCACCTACGTCCCACGTTTCTCACAGTCACTTATCCTCAAGCCACTCCCTTCTTCATGCGTGAATAAGACCTGGGTTTGGCCTTGGGTCGAGGCCTGTGTTCCCAGTGGCCATCACTGTGGCTGGACTTAGGATCCCTTGGCTCCCCATAACTACAGATATGCCTGAGTGTCTTTATTCTCGCCACGGGTTGCACTGGAAGTGGTAGATTGGAACTAACCCGCTAGGATTCCAATAACTTTCATGGGATCACAAATGCAAACTTCCTGGGCCTTGACGAGGACCGGGAAGGGCTCTCTAGTCTTCTTCTGCTGCCTGCAGACTGTCCACAGAACAGCGCCCTCCTTCTCATTCTCTCAGGTTCCTTCCAGGCAAAATGCAGACACATTGCTCTCAACATTGGCCCACACCCATTACAGCAGCCAATTCCATTTTTTTGTCTTTTTTTTTGGTTCCAGGAATCAAACTCAGGACCTTGTGCTTGCCAGGCAGGCGCTTCTGCCACTGAGCTAGATCCCTGGCCCCGCAATTCTGTTGTTTTAAACCAGTTTCTGACAGGCAGAAGTGGGGAGCGAAGAGGTACCCAAGAGGGCCCAACTTTAACCAAAAGCTTTACACTGAATAACTTGCTGAATGAGGTGAGGAACAGGGGCCTTTGTGATGCCTTAGGAGAAACCTATCTGTCCTAAAACTTTCAAAAATGATTTCACATGATAGTGGCTTTCTCAAGGTTTTCATGATCACATAATTATCTTCCTCTGCATACAGGTAAGAGATTCCTATGGTTTTAAAAAGGATACAATGAATGCTATACTCAGTTGTGTGCTGTGAACTACTGAACTGGAACCATTTTTAAAGTATGTTTGTGACACATAGTAATTATTCATCTTGGGGAACTGGTGCATCTACTTGTCACACCTCAGCCATTTTTACTCTCTCTTCCTCTCCTCACCCTCCAATCTCCTTCCATCCCCACAAACCTGAATCATTTGAAGAAATCACACTACCCAACTTGCTGAATATTATTACATTGTATTAGAGACAGAGTCGTCTAACGGGATTTTATTTCTTACACATTCCTCTCTTCAGTTTCAACTTTGGAAAAGTTGTGGTCACGTGTAGATTTCTCTCCTAAAAGCTGGGTTCAAATATGAATAAGCCCGGCATAGCAGATATTATGGCTTGTATCCAGATGGCCCCCAACACGTCATGGGGTCAAAGGTGGGGCTTTCCAGAGATGGCTGGATCTAGGGTGTATGATGCTGCATTGAGGGGGTGTGACTGCTATAGTCCTCACTGAGTGGTTTGGCAGTTCAGGGTGTGGATGATGGGAAGGCCCACCCTGGGTGTGGAGGCATCACTCTACGGGTGAGCAGCCTGAAAGGGATGCAAGGGAGAGGCAGGTTCCTGCTTTGCTGCCTTCTGCCTGCCATGAACTGCGTCTTCTCTGCGATGCCCTTGTGCTCTGCCACCCTGCCTTGGAGCCAGCCAATTATGAACTGAAACCTCCCTAAACTGTGAGCTAAAGAAACCTTTCCTCCTGTAACTTTGGCTGTCATGTATTTTGTCTCAGCAATGAGAAAGTAACTAAGACAGTAGATATTTTTCTTTTGGTTTCATTCTGTAGCTCAGGCTTGCCTGCAACTTGTGATCATGCTGACTCTGCCTGCAGTGTGTTGAGATTACAGGTGTGCACCACCACAACTGTAGGGAAAGAAGTTTACAACTTTAAAACATTACCTGTCTAAAACATCGTGCTTCGTAAGAAAATACTGTCTAGTTATTGCTTTTCTCCTCAAAGAAAATCACTGTTGAGTGGGCACAAATCACCGACAATATGCAGAAATTTTATTATTAATAAAACACTTTATTATAAACTTCTCCAGAATATAAACTGATTTTGTATCAAGATTTTTTGAAACTTTTAGAACTATATGTAACATACATTTATTGTTATTATAATGTATTCATTTTCCACTTTCCAACCTAGAAAATATACTGCCAGTTAACAAGGGGCAAAAAAAATCTAAACTGCTTTATAGAGAAAACCAATGAACATAAAAATACCCAACTCAAAGCTAAAAGAAATCCAATCAAGAAATAGATTCAGCAAAGCCTATTAATCCTCCAATTTAAATAAATTATTTCCCAAGGGAAAATAATTCCACCATCATGGCAATTTCAATAAACCAGAACCACTCTCCTAAAGGGAAATTATATCAAATGTAAGAAAAATGTAATAATGTTTTTAGAGAACGAGGAAAAGTAATTTCCACGTTGAAGAGCAAGCATACTAAATATTTCATGTTCACCTGGCCTTTGTTAGAATTAAACTACCTGTTCACATAAGTGATACGAACATGAATATCATAAAACCAAGCTCTTCAAGTAGTTTTTCAATTTTAACTTCAGGAGAACAAAAGAGCTTCAAAATCCAAGGATAGATTGGTCCCAAAGCATTTCTTCCTCTGTTCTTTCTTCGCCTTGTTCCTTCTTCTCTTTCCTACGCTTACGGTCCTCCTTCTTAGAGGCTATATCTCGGCTTTTTTTCTCCTTACGATGCTTAGGCTTTTCTGTACTGCCCTGTACAGGTTCTGTTTCCACCTGTGTTTTCTTTCTTTGGATGCTCACGTGTTCTTCTAAATCTACCTCCTCAAGACTTCTTTTCCTCTTATGCTTGGGCCGCTCCTCCTTTGGTTTTTCTTTGCCTTCCTCTGGGTGCCTCCTTCTTTTCTGATGACTGGCTTGATGGGCACCAGTCCTGGTTCCCGAGGAGAAGTGCTCGGGGCTTCCAGAGTCTACACTGGCTGAACCATAATTATATGCTTGCTGGCTGAGGTTCAGGGGCACTGGTTTTTCTGAGAAGCAGTCCCTGGGGAATTGACAGTAGCTCAGAGACTCCAGTCTCGGCCTGTTGTCATGAACTGGGAACCACTGAGGTAACCGGTTTTCTGTCTGTGAAGTATTGCGTGATCTTGGGTAAGCCTGGACGGTTCCGGGTGGGAGTCTTTGATCAAACATTCTATGCCTGGGTCTAGAGTCAACTTCTTCCCTGTACCCACAGCTTTCCAAATAGTCCTCCCTCATCTTTCTGAAACAAGTCTTTGGCTCTAAGCCTCTGGCTTTCTGCACTTTAATATAATCTTCAAGTTCATCTTGAAAAGAGTCATATGACTTTGAATGCTTCATTAGGTTGACAAAAAGGGATTCTCTGTGGGGAAGATGGGGAGAAAAGCCTTACTAGATTATTTTGTTCTGAATATTTCCTTTGCTCTTGAGAAGAGCTTCAAAAATAAAGCAGCCCAAACAAATGAAAACCTATGTCAGCATAAAGTTAACTATTTTGACAACATATACCAAAAAGTAGGGTCAGGATGGTCAAACATCTCCTAGGGCATTCACAAGTAACTGCATCCTTCTCTAACTGGGAGGAAGACGGTAGAAAAGAGCTGACACAGAGGACAGAGGATGCTGTTGTAGTGCTACAGAAGTCAGAAGTACAGGGAGGTCTGAATGAGAACCACGCATCTGTGGTGATGGTGCAGCTGACCTGGATATTCAAGTAATTTCTAAAGATCTGAAAAAGAAGTTTTTTTTCTGATATATCAACTTGCTGTATGTTGGTTTCTAAGAGAATCACAAAAAGGTAATTTGATCTTCAGAATCTTCAGTTTACTCAAACAAAATACACTCACCTGACTAGAGTACTGTAAGGCTTAATAATAAAAGGAGGTTTGTAAAATGGTTTGAGAATGCTGGATATGAGAGATCAGCTCTGAGCTGAAAACTACTCTTAGGTGTAGTGTATGAGGGATGGGAAAGACAGAGTTCTGAATCTTCTGTGTAGCACTTGGATTTTGTTCTGTGACTTCTGATTGGTTACAAAGCATTCTAGAACACCTCTGCTTTGTTCTCTCAAACTACTGGTGAGAGGATTAAAGGAGGACATGGAGGAGAAAGCTGGAAGAGACAGAATTGATAAAGAAAAAGTTTGGAAGATCACAGACGCATCAGAACTTTGTCTGCTTGTTTGATTCTTTTATGGGAGGGAGAGGGGAATCATTTACTGTTCCTAGTACTCTTTCTTACCCCCACTTTAAATCCTGAATAAATACAAACAGCAGAAAGTGCACCTATTATGATAAACACCCTACACACTTCTGGGAACTATTTTATCTCCAAAATTTAGGAGGCAGCAGAAAAACGCATGTAGAAATGACTATTTCTTCCCTTTAACAAAAGCAAGCCTGATCTAGAACTCTAGAGTTACTAATGATCAACCATCTTGGAGATCTGAGATGAAAAGGAGTATCAATGAGGCCTAATTTGATGAATTAGGAAAATTAGCTGATTTTCAACTTAAGTAGTATAAAAATTCTGATTAGGGTAATAATGTAACAAACACTTGGTTAAATTGTAATAGACATTTCAGAATATATATATGGCCAAGAACCACATGAGAAGATGCAGATCATTACCCATCATGTAAATGTTAATTAAAACCACTATGAGTACTACATTGCTATGGCTTGTGTCTAGATGTTCCCCCCAGATCTCATGCAGTCATGGGAGGCAGGCTTTTTTGGAGGTGGCTGAATCTAGAGTTTGTGACTGATTCCTAATGCAATGCTGGGATTAAGGGTGCTGGGATTAAGGCTGGGTTATTGCTGAACCACTCCACTGATTGGATTGGCACTGCCCTAATCCCAGTAGTCTGGATAAGGCAAAAGGAGCAGAAAGAAGCTTGTTCCCCGTTTTCCTCTTGTTGCTTTTGCTGTCTTCTGCTGCCATGAACTGCTGCCCTCTGCCATTTGCCACTCTTCCTTGGAGCCAGCAGATTATGGACTGAAGCCTCCACAAATTGTGAGCTAATTAAACCTTTCCCCCTTTAACTTTGGCTGTCAGGTATTTTGTTTCAGCAATGAGAGGGAAGTAACCAAGATACACACACTCACTGGAATGACTGAAACCAAGACTGACAATACTAGTATGGGTAAGGATGTGGCGCCGTGGGAAGGCTCATAGATTGCTGGTAGGAATGCAAAATGGTACAAACACTTAACAGTTTGGCAGTTTCATAAGAAGTTATATACCAAATGACCTAGTTATACAAATCCTAGGTATTTATCCCAAAGAAAAGAAGATATATACCTAGCAAAAGACTTGTACATGAATGTTCTCAGTAGTTTTTATTTGTAGCAGCCCCCAAAAGAAAGAAAAAGCCGTTAAATTTCACTCAGTAGGTGAATGGGTAAACCAAATGGTGGTACAACCAGACAATGGAATAAATACTATTCATGATAAAGAGCGAAAACAATCCCAGTTGTCCATCAGCCAGTAAGTGGCTGTATTTTATATAACAGAATCATAATGTAGTGTATTTAAATAGTAGAACACTATTCAACACTAAAAAAGTAATGAAGCATTGATACACAATACAACATGGACAGACCCTGAAGACATTATGTTAAGTGAAAGATGACAGTCCCAGAGACCACTGATGGCACAGACACGAATGAAGAAGTGAAGGAAACCTTACCTTTGTCAGGCTGCGGACTGGCTGGAGAAATCTGATCATATTTATCTAGTATTTGCTTCAGTTTTTCAGCATGAACTGCCCCCAAATAGTGAGACTGTACAACAATCAGGTAGCTAAAAATCATGATGCAGAGATTATAAAATTTATTTTTGTCCAATATTCTACTCCCATTCACCTGAAATCAAGCACAATCTTGTTAAGATTAATTCAAAGTTTTGAACTGTACAACATAGATGAATTATCTCAAACTCATAAAACCCATCTTCCTTATTATTTGGCTTCCCATAAACCTGAAAATGAAGGCTTTTTTCAAGTGTGTGTTACTGAGTACTTGGTATCCCAGATATCACAATATCACAATTAATAGATCCAACAGTTCATCCAGGGCTTGGAGTATGAGAAGACACTGTGGGAAAAGATGATTGTCATGTAGGGTGCTAAAGATTATTCTTCTTCCAGGATACTATTATACAGGAAAGACAGTAAGAATAAGAAACCGTATCATATGAAGGGAAAGAACACCAGATAGGGAGTCTGACCTCACTTAAAGGCTTAGACATGTCTGGACTAGCTAAGGAGACATTTTACCTTTTAACTCTAGCATTCTATAATTTGAAGCTTCTAAAAAAAAAACAGGGAGAAGTTAAGCAAGAAATTGTTGCATATTATGTTTATAATCTTTAGCTACTGCAAGAGAAGCCTCTGGGCATGAGTTTATTATCTCTGGATTCACATTAGTAGTTTCCAGTTCCAACTTTACAACGTCACTCGCTTTCTTTCTCTTTCTGCCACCCCTATCATACTGGGCATTGAACCAAGGCCTTCCTACTCAGCTACAGACCCAGGCCTTTTAAAATTTTGAGACAGGACCTCTTCCCCAAGTTGTCCAGGATGGGTTTGAACTTATGATCCTCATACTTCACTCTTCCAGAGGACTGGGATTATAAGTGCATACACCAAGCTTGGCTTCTTTATTTTCTGTAAGAACTAAGGGTACAGTGGCTTTCTGGATAAAATGGAAGACATAAGGAAAAGAAAATGATCTTCAAAGTTAAAAAGACCTGAGCTTAAATCCTAATTCCCCAATTGTAAGTCACGTTATTTCTCTTCTCTTTGCCAGTCTCCTCATCCATTAAAAGGACAATGTCTTCCCACACAGGGTTCTTGCAAGGATTAAATAAGATGACATATATGACATTTACCTGCTACACTGAAAAGCTTCAGTGGGACATACTTCCTTCATTTTCAACCTACCTCATAATGTAAAATCTTTTATTATTCAAACTGTAGCACTACTCCACAGATGCCTTTCCTAAGAAGCACCTGTAAGTTCAGTCTTTCTTCATTCAATATGGTATCTACAGAGAAAATGGAGATAAGGCAGAAGATCGTATTAAACATTTAAATATTCTCAACTATGTAGTCATATTATCCCACATATCATCTCAAAACCAAATATCCTGAGTGCTTACAATGCTACAGTAATAGCTTTCTGCTCATTAGAATGGCAATATGAAAACATTTAGTAAGCCTCTACTATTTAATATGGTACCACTGTTTTTATTTGGTTCAGAAAATACCGTTTTGAAGGATGTTACTGTAGCACCAGCAGGAGAATGAACTTTATGGAGATGGTCTGGGGCACCAATATACAAAGGTTGGCTACAGAATTCAGTCATGGCATTTTATGTTTTATAGCAAATCATCTCAAAAAATGTAGTCCTTTTTTATTTATTTTTTGGTGGTACTGAGGATTGCCCAGGGTCTTCCCACTGAGCTACATTCCCAGCCCTTTTAAAATTTATTTTTTTTTTTGGTCTTATTTTATTGGTACACTTTAGATATACATAACGATCACATTCATCACAGGGCATCTATACCTGTATATGACATATCTTGCTTCTTCTTTCCCACCCCCTCCCACCCTATTTACAAAAGCTTTGTTTCCATTTACCCATTTTTTTTCTCGTTCCTTCTTTCCTTTTTCCCCTCACCCGTCATTCCCCTTCTTGTTTGTACATTTTCTTCCCATTTCCTAATTGACATTTATTTTGAGGCAGGGTCTCACTAAGATGCTGTTACCCAGGCTAGGCTTAGATTTGTGATCCTCCTACCTCAGCCTCCTGGAGTGCTGAGATGACAGGCGTGTGCTATCACATCCAGCTTGCAGTACATTGGGAAGTCACTGATTTTAGCTATAGTTAAGTCCCTTCATAAACATGAGTTCCACATCCTTCGATTAAACCAATAGCTGACAGTTGATACTTGAAAATCATCCCTGTACTGAACATGTAGACTGTTCTCCTTGTCATTATTTCCTAAACAACATAATGTAGCATCTCTCTGCATAGCATTAGGTATCGTAAGTAATTGAGAGATGATCTGAAGTATATGGAAGATTAGGTGTAGGTTATATGCATTTTATGCAAGGGATTTCAACATCTGTAACTTTAGTATCTGCAGGAAATCAATCCCCTGTGGATACGGAAAGATGACTGTATGCCACTAATGTCACTTAAGCATCACAGAGAAGCCGCAAATGGTTCTCCCTTACTTGTGGTAGGCAATGTTCTTCTATAGTTGGTACTAATGTAATCATAGGCATTTCATTTAAAAGGCTCACACAAGCTCCTCAAAGCTACAGTTATATTTATGTATCAACTTCAACTACACTTTTTTTTCATAATAAATAATCGATGCCCAAATTGCTTCATTTACATTTGAGGTCTACCCTTCAATCTGAAGTTCTCAAAAGGTGGGCCATGGTGGTGCCACACCTGTAAACCCAGCACTCTGGGATGCTGAGACAGGAGTCACATGTTCGAACACCTCCTGGGAAACTTAGTGAGACCCTGTCTCAAAATTATTTTTTTTTTTTAAAGGGCTGGATGTAGCGCAGTGTGTGGGACCTGGGTTCAACCAGTACCAAGGTGGTGCTGGTGAGATGAAATTTCCAATAGTTGAAATATACTCATTTTTTGTCTTACTATATAGTCCAGGCTGGCCTTGAACTCATGGTGATCCTCTTGCCTTAACCTACACTAGGGCCAGGGTTACAAGCATGCACCTCTGCTATGCCTCGCAAATTTGTTTTATAGAAGCTTACAGGTTTGTAAGTTGGATGTTATGGGTCGAATGTCCCTCAAAGAGCATGTGATGGAACTGTAACACCTGATGCAGCGGTGTTGGGAGGTGGGGCCCATGGGAAGTGGTCAGTGTACATGGGTAGCCCCTTTACCGATGTGTTAAAGCCCATGCTGAGGGCTACACACTTGCCCCACAGGAGGACGCAGGAAGGTTCTTGCCAGATGCTGGTCCCTTCATTCAGGAGTTCCCAGCCTCCAAGGCTGAGAGAACAATCTCTTTCCTACATAAATCACCCAGCTGTGGTAGTTACAGCCAACATGGAACGGACTAACACAGATGCCAACTGGGTAACATCAGGACTATGCAGCTGAGTGAATCAGACCCACACTCAATGGCATGAAGACCTGCCTGTGATACATAAATGGAAAAAAACAAGATGTAGGATGCTAGCTAAGTATCTATATAAACCCCAATTTTAGTATAAACCCAACATATACACGCAAAAATGGCTGGGCATAGTGGGGCATGCCTGTAATCCCAGAACTTGGGAGGCTGAGGCAGGAGGATGGCTGAGTTCAAGGTCAGCCTGGACTATATATTGTGTTCAAGGCCTGCCTGAACTACATATTGAGAACTGTCTCAAAAAACATATATAAGCAAAAATTAAGTATGCATACATGTGTTTACTGTAGAGAAGCAGCTACTATGGCTGGCTTTAGATCCACTTACTTCCTTTCTGGTGAAGGGACAGGGAAGATAGGTGACATCCAGACCTGAGCCAAGAGGAAGAGACCTCATTTCCAAAAATCCCCCAGTAAGGTGTCCCTGCCTAGGGGCTGCTCATAGTAATAGGCCCCAAATCTAGGCATAGTTCACATGCTGCATACGCCACAAAGTCCTGGGGTAGAATATGGAGGTGATTCAGAATCCCTTGTGGCAAGCATCCCGGTCAACCTCACCTAGAAATCTTATCATCCTGGGCCAGAGCTACATGTTGGACGTGGGAAAACACTCCGTGAGGAGCCATCTCTCATGTGCTAGACACTTGTCTACTTCATTTGAGGCTTTCAACTGCCTGTACCTTTGAAATAACGACTAAGCTTTGCTACTGGGTTACACTGCTGATGCATGTGAATCTGACTTGATAGTCCAATTTTGTATCCGTTAAATTTTTATGAAAAAAACCTGAAAAGATATACACTAAACTTAATGGGATCTCAGAAATGGGGTTAGGGAAAGGAGAGGAAATATTTAACATCTGCCTTCTGTACATGTCTGCATCTTTTTAATTTTTGCAAAACTCACGACTTTTGTCATTAAAAACTCCACAGCCACTGGGCATGGTGGTACATGTCTATAATCCCAGCACTCGGGAAGCTGAGGGAGGACTGTCGAGAGTTCAAGTTCACCTTGAGCTACACAGTGAGTTTAAGACCAGCCTGAACTATATGTAGCGAGACCAGGTCTCAAGAAAACACAAAACCAAAAGCTCCATAAATATTTGTTACACTGGATATCTTTAAACTAAGCTTAATGTACAGATTTAAAAGGTTTGCTTAAACTGGACTTTATGATGCACACCTGTAATTCCTGCACTTGGGAGGCTGAGATAACAGGATTGCTTTGAGTTCAAGGCCAGCCTGGACTATGTAGCTACACCCTGTCTTTAAAAAAAAAAAAACAGAAATATTTTAGAAAATATCCAGTAAATTAAAAATAATATGTATTATCTCTCAATTATGAGTTGTTTTAAAATATATAATTTGCATTTGACTCTAAAGTTAGCAAGATAAAAGTACTAACTACAGAGGTTTTTAGAACTTTTAAAATCAGAATATACACAAACTGACTAAGGTGATACACCATTTGTACTATTACCCTTTTGTTTTAAGACAGGCAGGGCTCACCATTTTGCCCAGACTGGTTCAGAATACCCAGGCTCAAGCAACTTTTCTGCCTAAGTCTCCCCAGTAACTGGGACTTGGCTACTAGGGGAGCTACTTCAAATCAGTTCAGGCTTGAAAGCAGTTTTAATGGTCCAATCAGGATTTCTGGGATAGGGTCTTGATAGGTAGTTCAGGTTGACCTTCGACTCACTATATATCAGACTCAGGGATCCTCTTGCATCAGCCTCCTGAGTGCTAGGATTAAAAGCATACAGCACTACATCTGGATAGATTGTCTTTTGTGGTAGTGGGGATTGAACCTAGGACTTCACACATTTTAGGCAAACATTCTACTACTGAGGTACATTCCCCAGCCCTCTTTTGTTTTTTGAGACAGTGTCTATGCAGTTCAGGCTGGCCTAAAACTCATCATCTTCCTAGTTCAGCCTCTGTTAGGGTTACAAGAGTGTGTCACCATGCCTGGTTCCTATTGAGATTTTGAAAGTGAGACAGAGTTGATATATCTGACAGTGATACTTCTTGGGTAACTTCTGGAACAATTTCTGAACAAGGTCTTCAAAAAAAAAAGATGCTGGTTAAGCATCCAGCTATATTTTTTTCTTCTTGTAGCCCAGGCTGGCCTCAAACTTAATGATCATCCAGTTTTAGCCTCCAGAGTGGTGGGGTTATAGGGAAATGTCATCACACCCAGCTATTTAAAGCTTTTCTAACTACCTAAAATAAAAAAAATGCTAGGTCCTACCAGTGTAGACAGTGTAACATACCAAACATTTACCATGTGCCAAGTCACAGCTACCTGAACTGCTAATGAAGGATACTCACCTGAAATGCAGTGACAAACATAACTTTTTAGGTAACAATTATATTTTGGTAAATAATCTCAACCGTAACTTGGTAGAGATTTCATTATTCTTTGAATGTTATCTGATGACCATTAAGGGCAGAGTTTCATGTTTCATGAATTACAGTTCTAGTACAGCCAGACTGGGGAGAATACCAACACAGGACTGCTAAAGCAGCTGTTCTAAAGCTATTGCAGTTAGTGCAGGGTTCCTCAACTTCAAAAACATTACTGACATTTTGGGTAGGATAATTCTATTTGTGTTTTTGTGTGGTGGTTTTATAAATTTTAGGATGTTTGTGACATCTCTGGCCTATACCAAATTGCCTGCAGCACCTGTGCTCCCTTACCATGTCCCTCCCTTCCTGGAGGTAATAAGGAAAAATGTCTCCAGACCCTCCAGGTGGGCTTGGTGTGAGATTACCCTTGATTAAGAACCACTGGATTAGTCCCAATAATCCACCCAATGGATGACAAAACTCAAGCCCAGGAAGTATGGGACTTACTCAGGGTCATACAGCTAGTAGAGAAACAAGCACCTATGACTAGTCAAGTTTTTGAGTCTGCTATTCTCATTTTACTACCCTGAAGTTGTATAGAAAAGTTATTGCTAGCACTGTATGAAATGCCATCTTTTAAAGTCCGTACACATGTAAAGTCATTGCAAAAAAACCCTCCAAATATCCCGTCTGGCAAAAGCTGTTTTCCCATGAAGAGCTGTTTTCAAGTCTTGCTGTGATCTGGCCATGGGAACCACACTGAACGGTAGTCTTGACACCTACAAGCTGCTCTGGCATACTTGGTGATAAGCAGGAAGTTTGGTATAAAAGTTAAGAAAAAAAAAAAAGATTTTATTTTTTATCTCAGAACAGGGAATGATACTTATCCTCTAGGCTGACTGAAGACACTCACCTGGTTGCAATCAATTTCTAATGAACTTTATTGTATTTGTTTTGCAGGACTGAGAACAGAACCCAGGCCCTTTGTACAGAACCACACCCCTAGCTGACCCTTTATTATTTTGAGACAGGGTCTTGCTAAGTTGCCCAGGCTAGGCTGAAACTTGTGAACCTCCTGCCTCAACCTCCCAGAGTACTTGGATTGTTAGTGTCTGCCATCTCCAGCAAGAAATTATTTTTTACAGGGTTACTACATTTATGGGTGTCCCTCCAAGCGAAAGGAATCTAAATTACTCTGTAACATTGTGGCTTCTACCATTCTTTATAGAGAAAAAAGAAACAAACAGAAAACCCCACATAAAAGCAGAAGCAAGCAAATACTAACAGTTATAAAAAAATTAAATGTCTGAATGTTTTACTGAGCTCTTTTGAGGGGAGATCAAGTGCCATAATCTAAAAGCATCTCCAAAACTACTTGAAAGCCTTATCTGCCAGGTCCCAGCAAGCAGGCTGCTTGCAGGTATACAGTACTTGTAAGAACTCAAACATCTCTTAGCTTGGGATGGTCAAGAACTAGCTTTCTGGGTTATGGGAAATGTGTTGGTGAGAACTGTAAAAACTCCAAAACTGCACAAAGAGACTTAACCACAACTGAACATGACCTCTAGCAGTCTATGACCAGGTCTCTGCCCTCCCACTTTGAATCTGGTTTGGAAAAGCTCTGGGCAGTCAAAAGAATTTAGTTCTAGCCAACACCTGATGACAGGTTCCTAACCTTGCCTTTTTTTTTTTTTTTTTTAAAGGCAGGGGACTCGCTATGTGGTTCAGGCTGGTCTTGAATTCACTATGTAGCCAGGCTAGTTTTGAACTTGCCCTGATCATCCTGCCTCAGCCTCCCACATGTTGAATTACAGGCGTGTGCCACCACACCTAGCTGCATTACCTCACCTATTTCTTGTGCTGGGTACCGAACATCATGCACGGTAAGCAAGAGAAACCTACCACTGACCTACATGTCCAGCGCCGACCTGTTTTAAAAAGCACTGACTAAAAAGGGCTTAGCTGTAAATATTTCCTACGTGCTTTTTTATCTTTTTGGTGCTGGCCATAGCACCCAGGGTCTTGTGTGAGTTCTACCACTGCACTACACCCCAGCCTTTCCTGTGTCTTTCTGAGATGTGCAGGCAGTGGCCACAACCCAGGAATCTTTCTCAAGGAGAGGGCGGGCCTGTCTCCCGTCTCTGTGGGAGCTTAACTTGGTAATTCCCGGCCAGCAGACAGCTGGCCTACTTGCTTTGACAGTGACTAACCCTGTGTGATTATTCACCTTTCCTCCTTACACATTCTCCTCTCGCAGGCCCAGTCACTGCTGAGCAAATACGAATAAAGTTCAACTTTCCTCCCTACTGTCTGTAGTGAAGACAAACTGTTTTCACGGTTAGAGTATCTAATAATACCTTTATTTCTATTCCTGGTAGACACACATTAAGGCTCAGACCGCCACCAAGCTGGGCTCGTAATTTTAGTAACTTATCTTACAGTGTCACGTCCTCAAAAAGTTTAGGCAAGACGCAGCCCTGTGATCCCAAAACTCTGGGAGGCTGAGACAGGAGGATCGGAAGTTCGAGCCTGGCCCGGGAAACCTAGCAAAACTATCTTGAAATTGAAAGAAAAAGGGCTAGGGATGTAGCTCGGGGCAAAGGCCCTGGGTTCAATCCGCAGTAAGAGAAGGGGCGCTAGGAAAAGCCTGTGACTCCCTAAACTTCGCCCCGTCTTCTCCGAAGACCTCTGCAACTGTGAAGCTCGGAACTGCTGCCTCAAACCCCGCTCCCGGGTGCTAACTCCGTTTCTCAGCAGCCTACCGTGAAATCCTACGCTCCGGGACGCCGGGTCCCCCACTGCCTGGCGCCCCGCTCCTACGTCTGCCCCTTCCACTTCCGGGGTCCGTTTACCCGCCCCCTCTCCCTTCCCTGACGCCCCAGGGCCGCCGACCCTGCCTGGCCGCCTCGCCCGTCCGCGGCGTCCCCAGTCCTCCGCGGGGAGCCGGGCGCCGCGCTGCCGAGAC